TAGCTGTTTAGCTAGAAGGGCTAGGTTAAAGTCTTGTAAATCTCTAAATCCAAGGCCTCCCATATCCTGGGGAATGCAGATTTTATCCCAGGCAATCCAGTGTATCCCGCTGCTGTTCTGCTTTGAACTCCACCAAAAATTAGCTATAGCACTCCACAATTTATCTGTCACTCCTTGGGGTAATAGAAAACATGACATGACATAGGTTGGAACCGCTTATGCAACTGATTTTATTTGAATTTCTTTTCCACCTTTGGAAAGAAGTCTTGCAGACCAATTATTGACTCGGTTACTTAAGCGGTCATGAACATAAAAAAACACTTTCCTCTTTGATCCACAAAGTTGTTCTGGGAGGCCCAAATACATACCCATGCCGCCCTCGGATGAAATTTCAATGGCATTCTTGATACCTTGCTTAAAAACGGTCTGGAAGCATTGGATGAGTCAATTTAAATATTCAAGCACTCATCATAGTGTTTATATTTTACATTTTAGACTTAACTGACTTTACAACGTCGTTACTTTATATCCCTTGTTTTAAATACAAAAGTTGGGATCAAAACATCTAGAATTCACAAGAAGTATACAAACGAAGCAAAACAATAGATTCTAGCAATATTAAAAAATAGACAAATCAATCATAAATTTTCGTTGTCCTCGCGAAATCTTTTCTCAAAAAAAAAAAAACAACTTTTGTTATACGTATTTTCAAAGATTTTTTTGTTTGTTTGTCTTATTTCGACTGCTTCTACGAATTTAAGCGATATCAGATTTAATTATTCTTGCGTATGACTAAGATTTTTCTTCCATGACTGGCATTGGCTGTTTCTATAAAGATTAATTGTTACCATAAACTGGAAAATTGTTTAGTCCTAAGTCGTTTATTTTTTAATAAATACTGTCTGACGCTCCTTTTTTCTTTTACTGCTAAACTGTTATATATTTTGGAAATTTGGTCAGTTGAATTTGTTCGTAGTAAAGGATGTACAGTTCCTTAGATAAGAAGAACCCTAGGCTATGTAAGAAAATACTAAGAACTTTGGACAAAAAAATAAAAGAAAATGTACTAGTGAAGCGTTGACTCTAAGAAATGTGAAGTATCGATGGAAGCGCGTGGAGAAATGTAAAGTGTAAACAAAGAACGTTCACTGTTTCTTTAATTTGTTGCGTTCGTAAATTACAACCAACCAATTCAAACCTAAACCAATTTTAGATCTTGATATTGTAAATAAATTTTTTTTTTTTTTAAATAAATTTTCATCCTAAATGAGCATATGAACATATCTTCATATCTTTGCAATATGTAAATAATTTTTTTGTTCAACAATTTTCATTTCATTTTCTTTGTTTTTTGCGTTAACAGTTTACAAAATGACTCTGATTAAAGCACTACAGATCTGATTTACTTATAGCATTTATACGTAATTACATAGAAAGGAAAATTACATATAAAATTCTCAACTTAATTTTAATGAGATTATTAAATTTTTAACTTTTCGTGTATCCTAAAAAGATCCTAAGTATTTTTTCTACTCATTTTAAATTCTTAATTATTATCTGTGTAATCATTTTGCTTCAATTGGATTTAGGAATTTTGCTTCAATTTTATTGGAATTTCGTTTGTATCGAGTTTTATGTAACCATTGCTTAACCACGACGAGTTACTATAACTAATTTGTTAACTGGATTTGAATTATGTTTCCATTTTTATTAAATGTCGTTTCGTATACGGTGTAATCTAATTATACAGATAATAATTAAGGATTTAAAATAGATAGAAAAAACATTTGAAGTTTTTTTCTGGACACACGAAAAATTGAAAATTTAAAAAGTTCATTAAAATTAAGTTAAAAATTTTATATGGAATTTTTTCTACAGAGAAATCAGAAATAAATATAGTTTTTAGTATTTACGTTTTAAAAAGTCTTCCACGCACTTTATTTTCCTAAACAAAACTGAGTCCATTATGACATACTAACCTTTAAAGTTTAAATCCTCACATGTCTGAACCGCTTTAATATTTGTGACAACATGAAATTACAAAAGCCGATACTTTGTCGATTGTCGTAGTTGCAGTTTATACAGAATCACCTCACGTGATGTGCCACATAAAAAACACAACACAAATGTGGGTATAATCTTTTACATTGAATATATTATACGTACTGTTAAACGATCCAATAATTACAAAGTCCACAAACTTGTATTTTTGGTTAAAGTGTGAATATAAATAAAATTTTTTAAAGCAACTTAAAAGGTAAAAAATATCATTTTTCTTACATATTAGAGGATTGAAAAAATTTAGAGTCATATAAATATAGACACACACATAACATAGTTCAAAAGTGTGTGAAGGAGAACCAATGATCCCTTGTGCACCGCCGCCGAGCCGAGCCGAGCTCGGACTCGGGTCTTGGGTTTTGGGGAATGTGGAATGTGGACGTCATTATCACGCTGATTAAGTGCGACGCTCCTCTCTCCTTCGCTATATATATCGACCTCTCCTTTTCCATTTCTTAATCGCTCGACAAAAATTTCAATCTCTCGCGTCTCCTTTCTTCTTTCAAAAAGAAACGTTTAAAAGTATATCGTATAATTTTAGTTTGTACATTCTATAGTTGGATGTTGCGATTATACGAATATCAGTGGTTGTATCATAGAATTCATTATCTCATCCAACCGTCACATTGTGGGAGATATTTTGAATTAAGGAAAGAGATCATCTCGCCTCCACTTCTCGTTTTTCCTTAATTCGCTTTTATGAAACGTTTTTCCGTGTTTCAAATTGTTTTCTTACATTGCAATATTTGTCTCCTCTAAATTTATTTCTTACAAAACTTCTGTGGCGAGTCAGCTTAATATACATCGAGTGATATAATATTAAAATTGTATTATATTAGTAAAGCTTAATTTGCATAAAAACTTAAACACTTAGACATAAACTGAGAGAATTATATTATAAGTCAATGTAAATGTTAAATCGTTTTATGAGTTGAGAGAATTTGAGAATATTTCACATTGTTTTTTCAAATATATGTATTTTACTAGATTAAATTATTATACAAGAAAATGATGGAGTTGAATTTTAAGGTAACAACATTAAAAACAAAACAAAATGTAGAACTTCTCTCTACATCACTCGGTAGGTCGAGCAGTCCAGGCAAAAATCGGACCGACCACGGTATCTATGATCTATCGGAGGAGCATTAGTAATGCCTTCTTGCTTAGGTTTCTTTGACTAACAATATGAAAAAGAAAAAAAAAACATGTTTCATTGTACGTGTCCCATAAATCACGCACGAGTCATGACGTTCAACATCATTTTCATGTTTGTCTATTCCTTCACAAGAAAAACGATGTTTTGAACGTTGAATCTAGGCATTGAATGTTATTTTTATTACATTTCTAGTAACGTATTAGGGTTAAATCAGTGTGCACAAGCACAAAACACACAACACAAATCATAGAGTATTTTTAGTTTTAACCGTCAAAAAGAAAAAAAACTAGACCAAATATTCGTAAACACACATATGAAACACTCACAAGTCAACCACAAACATAGAAAGCAAACTATAAAATTACATGAGCACAGTTCTGTACATAATTCAAATCCTTTAGGACAGATGATTCTTCTTTAAATCAGAATATCTAAAAACTGAATTCCGGCCAATGGAGGAGATTAAGGACCGGATAATGGAGGAGATTATGGAACGAAGATCCAGAACTTCCACAGTTCATAAAAAAACACATTTATGTACTTAATTATGTAAATCATAAATAATTTTAAAGAAAACATACATCATACATGGCCAGCTATTAATTCATTAAGATAACATACTTTCCAAGTGCCTCCAACTCTTTTTTAGATTGCGACATTCCATTAGTTAGAGATGATTCTTTTTTTTAACAATATTCCATTAGTTAGATATATAAATTTATTTAAAAAAAAAAATTTTGTTAGACTTTTTTTTTGAAATTTTGGTTTTATAAAATTTTAGAAACAGTTTAATTTGACAGCAAAATTAAGCATTAAATCATAATAATTTAGAGCGATTTGTTTTAAGTTATTTTTAACACATCATCACATAAGAACCATTAAAAAATGACATGTAATAGCTAAATGAAGTAAAAATGTCTTTTTGCAGCAGAAACTCATTTTAGCGATGATACATAATCGAAATACTATAAAATAGCATGATATATCAGTAAATCACTGTATAAATAAGTATATAGATTCTGATTTAACTGGATGTACCTTGAGTTATTAAAAAAATAAAAATAATTAAAAACAAAATTTGGATTAAAAAATGTAATTGTGAGTGGGCTTACCAATTGTGATTGTCTTCTTTGTAACCGGGTTTTAAAGGGCCGTGATTCTTTCAATGTGACTACTCTTGATCACTTTGAAATCTGATTGCTCACCACTATTAAGAGATTGGATACTATACTTCACTAATTTAAACTGTTCACCGATACAAAGACCTAAACTAACAATGGTTTTTGTAATAATTATGGTTAGAATCATAAGATTAGGGACTAATATAGAGACTAGAGAGCAAAAGTGCATATTTAATAAATGATAACAGAAGGCTGAAGGCCCATATCCATTAATAAACAGTTATTAAACCGGTCCATTTAACTAACCGAGTCAGCCTAACTGTTTTTTTAATAATATCGAACACGTGGAGCACGAGAATTTTAAATATGCTAACGCCACACCATGTCGCGTACCAAGCTGCCACATCACTAATCTGATTGCCACGTGTCTTCATTCAATGCACTATACACCCACAAAAAGCTGGCACATTGAGGTTGCGACGTACCAGATAACACCACCTCTCCACTTTCAAAAAATGAAAAGCATCTTTTGGTAATTATTTATATCTAATTTAGGAAACAATTAACAATTAGTTGAATAATGAAGGATTAATTTGTAGTTTTGAGAAATAAGTGAGCCCACACGTATGAGAAGTTAGACACAGAAGACCGTTCCAGATTGCCACGTCAGCGTCTCCTCTCTAAACGAGTTTCTGCTGTTCTAGGCAAAACCTGAAACGTGCACCCTCTCTCTCTCTCCGTTTCTCTCTCGATTGGAAGAGAGAAAATCGGTCGATTTCATTTTCCTTTCTTCTGGATTCCCGGAAAATTTACGGCATCGTTTGAGTCTCCTCTTTCTTCTGGTCAACCATGAATATCTTTAGGTTTGCTGGCGATATGACTCACTTGATCAGTATCTTGATCCTTCTTCTCAAAATTTACGCGACAAAATCTTGCGCTGGTGAGTTCTATTCCCTGAATGTGTTGTATATTGTTGAAGAAAAGCTCTTGGAAACAATCGCATTGCTTTGACCTTTTGTTTTCATTTCTGTAGCTTCCAAATGCAATCGTATTTGAATCCTGTTGAGCCTTTGTGATCCATTTCCATGCGAATCCGAGTTTCTAGTTTGAAATTTCAAATCAATCAAGTGTTGAAATCTCAATCTTAGAAACTGAAACTAGAAGGGAGTTTCTAAAGGAGGGAGATCTCCTCGCCCAAATTACGTTAGGTTTAGTGGACAAATGCAGTAGAGAAATTTGATATAAGGAGTGGAAAATGCTCGTAGATGCTCATGATTTTCTCAAATTCAAACTAGACATTTGCAGCTTCTAACATTCTTTCTGTTGACTTTGCATTTGTTGGCTAGGAATCTCTCTCAAGACTCAAGAGCTGTATGCGCTTGTGTTCTTGACTCGGTACTTGGATCTGTTCACGGATTATGTGTCTCTCTACAACAGCGTGATGAAGATTGTCTTCATTGCTAGCTCTCTGGCAATCGTTTGGTGTATGCGTAGGCATCCACTTGTGAGGAGATCATACGATAAGGACTTGGACACATTTCGTCATCAATTCGTTGTGTTAGCATGTTTTGTTTTGGCACTTATCCTGCACGAGAGATTCACAATTCAAGAGGTATTGTCAGGCTGTAGCATCGTTAAAGCTTTGTTTGCTTCCAATAAGGGAATCTGTTTTGTCCTCATTGCATGTGATCCATAAGGTGCCCATAGATTAATGTTATCTGTATCTCGCCTCTACTTTTCTGGTCAAAATGTTCTTTGATGCAACTTTAGTTTCTCCTTTTACGCACTTTATATCTGTTTCCTCGCCTCTACTTTTCTGGACAAATTGTTCTTTGATGCAACTTTAGTTTATCCTGTGTCATATTCTTTTATACTTGCCTTAATATCTGTTTCTTCAATATATGCTCCTGGTAAACACTTAACCTTTGCATTTGCCTTCACGTCTCCGACCTGTCTTCTATAGTAGTTTGCAGTAATGTAGCTTGTGTGTGTTGATAGTCAGATTTTCAGTGTAACATGCTAATCCTGTGAATACGAAACCATTGCAGGTATTCTGGGCTTTTTCTATTTACTTGGAGGCAGTTGCTATCCTTCCCCAGCTGGTTCTGCTACAGAGAAGTGGGAATGTGGATAATTTGACTGGGCAGTATGTTCTCTTTCTCGGGTACGTAATTCTTTCTAGACATATATGTTGGCTTACTTGATCTCCTGGCTTTAACGAGTTCACGTGTTGGACCTCGATGTTGATATAGCATGAGTCTGAACTGCGTTTATGTTATTGTAATCTCTTCACTCTCTTGGGTTTGTTTAGACTTGTTTTCTCTTATTGGCACTTTTCCTTTCACAGTTCATGCGCTGTTGTTAATTTGATCAATGAAAAACGCTCTCCGGTGCGATATTTAGAGTCAGTACGCATTATCTCAAAAGTCTAATACAATCGTTGTTCCTTCGAACTATCATCTGTCTGGAGGTTGAGCTGAACTAATTCCTTAATGTATAGAGGAGATTAGACTGGCTTGTATTTGGCCAAAAAAAAAAGACTGGGTTGTATTTGCTATGCATTTGATTCTTATGCATTCCTTTGTGTCCACTACGCAAATTCTCAATGTGCAAACCTGAGAAAAAATTTCAGTATGGACTCACATGGACAATGATTAACTTGCAGGGCGTATCGTGGACTCTATATCATCAACTGGATCTATCGCTATTTCACAGAAGATCATTTCACTAGATGGATCGGTAATGTTTCAACAAAGAATCACCAGTTACAATTTACCCTTTTGTTTCTCCTCATTGCTAATGTTTGACATATCTGCATATGTTCCAGCTTGTGTTTCCGGTCTTGTCCAGACAGCTCTCTATGCGGATTTCTTCTACTACTACTACATGAGGTAAGGAAACCTCACCAATCTTAATATTCTCTTAACCCTTTTTAGCCACTGATCGATCATGTACTGAATTCGGATTCCTTTTTTATTTCGTTTTAGCTGGAAAACCAACACCAAACTTAAGCTTCCGGCTTGAGCAGAACCAGACAAATTTTGTGTAAAAGAAAGCAGGAGGTTACTACAATGGCGACATTAGAAACAGAAAATACATGGTTAATATTTGGTTTCTCTCTGTTGTTACAATCTAACAAAGAGTCCAACGATGCAGGATTGTTTTTTAAAATGTGCTTTTAGCCTTTCAATGCACATTGTAACTTGATTTTCACTTGAAGGTTGAAATCAAAACTAAGTCTTTCTGGGAGAACCACGCAATCTAAATAGCCAATACTTTTTTTTTTTAATGTGTTGTTCAAACAAAACTGCTAGCTCAGATTAGAGCAAAGTACAATAATGTCTATCAAAAACTTAAAACTACTCTTCTTGAATGTGTTTCACTTTCTTGGATTTCTTCTTGTGATCTCGTGTCTTCTTGCTTCTTACCTCGTCTATCTCTTCACCCCCAGAGACTTCTTCTCTACTGCGTTTATCTTTCTTTGACTTCTTCTTCTTCACAGGAGCCTCCTCTAATCTATCCTCGTTCTGCTCCTCCTCATCTTCCTGCTCCATGATTGTCATGTTCTCTTCTGATTCAGCCTCAACCACTGTGTTTGCTACAGCTATATCTGCTTCGACCATAAACCAATCATCTTACAAACATACGTAGAAAATACAGAAACAGCTGTGATGTGTAGACGGCCAAACGAAAACTAACCTTCTCCACTAAAGCCTGAGTCGAATACAAGACCTGTAAGGTGCTGCTTCAAGAAAACCTGCAATACAAGAAAAAAGACAAGTGAATAAGAAGACGCTTTACATCACAAAAGAACACTAGACTCCACGTCGAAGAGTGTACCGCAGAGATGAGCTGGCGTGTCTTCACGTCATAAACCCGTAAATATCGATCTAACCCTGAAAAAATTCAATAAAACAACACACACGTGATGAGACTGTTGTTGTAACGCATATGGAGGTTGAAGTTGTGACAACGAATGAATCTTACCGCAAGAAGCTATCACTTGTTGCTGTGGATGTCTAACCACAGATCTTATGCTTCCAGAACACTTGCCTAAAAAGCTTCCCAACAGCTTTCCTGCAACAGATAAGATTGATTACTTGTTTGACTCAGCAGCATGGTTTATGATACATTTGTTAAGGAAGAATCAGTGAACCTGTTCTTATATCGAAGGAAGCGAGGTCAGCAGAAGCATTCCCGACATAGATAGTATGACCGTCTGGGTCTTCAGAGATTGCTGTAATGGCGGTCTCACGGAAATCAAAGGACAGGACCGGTCTACGTTGAGCAGAAACATCATATAGACGAACCTGTCTCCAGCAAAAGAAAATTGTAATGTAAGTAATCTGGACAAAGCGATTTTTCATTTGGTGGCCATAGAAAAGAAGCTTCAGGATTTAACCTGGTGAGACTTGGTTCCCGTGACAAATTTACGGTGATCTTCGTTGCTCAAGAATGCAGCACAAGTGAACCAGGTGGGTGTGAAGATCCCGAGATTGTCTTTAGGAGGCTGCACCAAACAGAGATTCGTTAGAAGAGACATTCAAGGCCAGTTAGTTCAAAATCAAAGAAACTGAAGGCTATGGAAGATATAAAGACTGAGAAAGAAGCTCACTGATTTCGCACTCCAGATCTTAGTACATTGTTCAAGATCCCATATATTGACTTCAACGCGTTTCCTGCATAAAACATTCGTTTCAGTATGGTAACAACAAAAACGAGATATAACGAAATGATCCTTGAGTTTCTTAACTACTAACCCTCCAAATAAGCCGAAGTTTTCGCTCCCATCCACTTTACCAACCAACAGTTCACCAGAACCACATGCTTTCCAAGTTTTGGGAGCAGCGTCATCCGTGGAATCAGCATGTGCATCGGGGAATTTAACTGATCTGAGACTCACATCTCCCTTTTTCGTGCATGTAAGCAATGAGCAAGACCTAATAACAACATGTTTTGTTGAGAGACGTCAATGGCAATACAGCATACATAGCAAAATTCACTGGTGATGGTCGAAGAAATTGTTTCAGTGTAACAGTATATACCTTTCTGCCTGATAGTCACTTTGTTTTCTGAATAAGTGAAGGCCAGAGATTTCGTCATCCTCAGGTGAAGAACCGTCATCACCAAATACAGAGTATGCAAAGTGAAGATCACCATTACAAGGATTAAGAACCTCAACCTATGGAAAGGACATAAACGGACAAAAGGATTGGGTTAAGTGTTAGCTAAGCTGTGGAGAGAAGTAAAATTACACATAGCTAAGAGTAAGAAAAACTTACGCTGCCATCTTTTCTTGCCACAGCCAAAAGCTGCAATTAGAAGAAGAAACAAAGTTACGACTTTTCAAATTTGACGCAAAGACGAGTTAAGAAGCTCTCTCCGATTAAAAAAAAAAAAAAAAATCAGATTTCACAGTAGAACAAACAAAGTAAGGCCGCCCAAAGAACACTCAAACATGATTACTAAGCCAGGCCTAGCTGCTTCAAGCACAGCTTAGATAAAACCATAAAAAAAGAATGAAACTTTTTTACCGGATTACTTAGCCGATCATCAATAGAAGCGGCAAGAACGCATCTGGATGCATTCGTCTCGCCCCATGTATTCACTACGGTCGGAGTTCCTCTCTCTTTACCCCGAGCTTCAGTCACTGCACATCGAATTGAACATAACTTGAGTATAATTCCAGAGAGGCTAAGCTTAAGAAAGAGTGAGGGAGAGGGAGAGAGAAGTGGGCACCTTTGATTAAACCGAGAGAATCAAAGGTTAAAGCACGGATCGGAGGGCAACCGTAAGTCTCGTTGGTGATGATTCGAGGCATTTCTTCGCCGCCGTAAATTGCTCCGAGTTGCAGAGGCACGACGACGGAGGAAGAAGACAAACCCTTTATTCTAAAACCCTACTCTGGACAGTGGACACGGCAATTTTGTGGCTCTCCTTCTAAACCGGATACAAAATTAATAAACTAAGTCGGTGGGTTACCTAAACCGGGATAGTAGTAATAAATTAGGTGAACTTGAATTAAATTACTAACATGAAGCTCACATTTACATTACTAACATGAATGACAAGGATCATATACTACTAGCTGAGGACTCGTATAACTGAATTTTGACTTCATGATATATCTTGCAATTCGGTTACAAAAAAAAAAAATATATACATATCTTGCAATTGAATGTTAAAAAATGTTTGTAAAGTCGATCAAACAACCTTGTATTTAAGTGACTTACTTAGATAATAGATATCGAAATGACTTAGTTTATGATCCAATCAGGTTCAAATTCTATAATTTATATTCTTAACCTATAGGGAGAGGGAGGACAGGGAGAAGAAGATGTTGCTCTAGAAACTTTAGAATCTTAGTGCATCGAGTACTCTAAGATTCCAAAGTTTGTTTAACAAACGCTGTTATGTTACCGGCGTGTATGATCTAATTACTATCCCAGCAAGAAGAACACACTTTGGCAACTGATGGATGATCGTGGCGTTTGTGTGTGAGTTTGATTTCCTTTGCTTTGGATTGTTTTGGTTTGGTTTGGTTTGGTTTGAATAAAGCACGGTTTTCAGATTTTCTGTTTGACATACTTGTATTTCCTGGTCACCATATGATATATTCTTATTGTTATATTTTTTTATTATCATATATACTCGTATTTCAAAATTTTCTTATAATAAGTTTGCCCACGCTCCATACGTATAGTATATGTTTTAACCATATCGATTATGATATTTTTACCTTTTTTGACCAAAAAATTGATATTAATAGTTTTACCTTTGGTCTTGAGAATAAAATTGTGTTATGTATTGATTTCCACGCCTTTTCCAATACTAGGTTGTGATGATAGCCATGGTAGATTGATTTCCACGTCTTTTTTTCTTGCCATCACATTACTAAGTGGTTATTGAAATATTATTCTCTTTGTCTCCCTTTGTGATGCGTATGATGAGTCATCTTCTTCGACTGCACTTTTAGCCATGAAATATGGCACACGTTCTACTCTGCAGCAAGTGTAACTCCTGCAGATTTTGATCAATGTCTGCTTTGGTTATTCTCTCCTTTTCGCGATACTAACACTTCTCTGATTTTAAGACTTGCTTTTCAAGCCTCTTTATACGAGATTTGAGATTTGGAGGGAACAAAATGCAGGATTTCACAATTCCACCTCAATTCCGGCATCTGCGATCATTGCAGCGATCAAGCAAACGATTCATTGTAGGCTGGATCCGTTGTCGCAAGCTCAGCCAAATACTCCATCTAACAGTCTCGCTTCTAACTTCTTGGTTCTCTATGTTTTGAGCATATTGCTTTTTGTGCTAGCTTAGCAAATCCCTTCATTTTTTGGTATGCAGATCAATGTCCTTGATCTGAGAAATCATGCCACTTTGTAACCTTTCGGTTAAAATTATTGCAAAATGGAAGTTATTAAAAAAAAAAGAGATTATCCTGGAATTAAACTTTATTATGTTCGCCTATCATATCCAAATCTACGTCTACGCGATAACAGTTAACTAGCACACAAAAATCAAGCAATAATGACTATGATAAATGATCAAATGGTAAAATTATTGCTTTATAGGTACGTATGTGAGTCTACTTATCCGATAGTACCAATTGTAATACTGTTTTGGAGACCAAAAAGAGAACCTATATCATTTTTTTTTCGTTTTATGGCATTTTTACCAAACACCTGAAATGCTCAAAAGTCAAAACCCATCTGTAGAGAGGAATCAGCTAAATCCGATCAAACACTTTATTGTGTCAGGTTTAAATGGATCAGTCTTACAATAAATGGCTTTCCTCATGAATACATACATATTAAGGTAATATTCTATCCATTTCAAAATATAAGTCTATTAAGGTATTTTTACATATATTGAAAAACTATTCCATTTTCTATTTTACCTCTTATTAATTAATGTACTATATTCTATTCATTATTCACACTAATTAATTAGCTCATAAATTAAAAATATTTTCATACAAGTACTTGGGTAAGGTTTAGAGGTTCTTGCTGAACTTAAATTTTATAGAAGTATTTCGCTTAACAAAAAAAAATGAACGTGGTTGACTACTTTTTAATTCAGTACATTGAATGTAATAAGTGAAATTGGTTTGAGAAGATGATTAAAAAAAAAAAAAAGTTAACAAAAGAGAATCATATACTATTCATTCAATCATCTGACGAATTTATCAACTCTCTCAATTTGGGCCGATTCACAACTTTCGCTGTGGGTGGGCTGATGCAACCTATTCCTCTACCAATTATGTAAAGTTATTCCTAAGAACCATAGTAGTAAATTTTTGGTGTCCAATCTTCTTTAATAAGATGGCAAAAAGAAGGTTTTTTTCCTATAAAACTGGGAGATATTCCAGCCGGAGAATCAACTCAATAGTAAGTATGAAACATGCCAAAGATGTGAGCATTCATCAATCGTTTCTACTGATTTTCAGTTCGCAAATCCAAGTAAACAGCTAGAGTACTTGTTAACATCCAAATTAATAACTAATGGAAAATTTTGGTGCACCTTTTGAAGAAACAAATATAACACAATTTAACAACTAATGGAGAAAAATCTGTTGGTTCATACAACAAGTGTCTACCAAACTGCTCTATTAATCGTCTATATTGAACTTTTCGTTTGGACACCAAAAAGAAAAGCTATTTTCTCACTAGTCTCGGCAAAATTTACCCTTTATAATACGACTCTCTCGGAAACAATCAGAACCCAAAGAAGCCGAGCTCGCTGGCTTTTTCCTTCTCAAAGGTTTCAAAATACTGATATATGATTGTCACTGCTAGTAAGATTCCAGTCCCTGACCCAATCGCTCCCATGAAATCAGCCAAAACAGTAAGTGCACCGATGCACACTCCTCCAAACGCAGCTGCGGTTGGGATATAACGATTCAACTCCTTCTGCAAGTTAGACTCTCTGTGTCCCGGCATCACCATTTGTTGTTCCTATCACATTTCACAATATATATCAGTCAGTTTCAATGCCTTCAAATGCTTCACTTACTTAGCAATGGACAAACGGTTTAGGGATTACCTTGAGCTGCTTAGCTACATCTCTAGCAGAAGACCCGGAGACTTCAATCCAGGTCTTTGAGAAGAGGGCACAAGCGGTGAGCATGAAGACGATATAGAACAGAGCATGGAATGGATGAGCTGCCATCTCGGCGAAGCTGAGAAAACAAACATTCAGAGATTTGAATGGGAATTGCATTACCGTTGTATTGCAAGAGGACAAACTGATTGTGCATTACCTTGCCGGAGCTGTGATTAAGTAAGCAAGACCACTAACTGGTATAGATTGCCCACTGTACTCTGATTCTTTCCACTGTCCTAATAGGTTTACAAAGAAATTTCCACTGAATTTCCTGTAGAGAAGCTGTTGACAAGGAGGAGATGCATATCGTGTCAACTTTATGTTCTTAGCTAAAGTCCTTTATGAGGAGAGAAAAGGTATATACAAGCAAGTACCTGAGAGATGAAGTAGAGGTTTGAGACGAGAGCAGACTGGAGAATGATTGGCATGTTGGAGGTGTAGAACAGCTTGATCGGGTAAGAACCCTGTTGGCCACGGGCACTCTTTGACCTCACGGGCAACACAACACGGAAGCCTTGGAAGTAGATTACGATCAGGAAGATCAAGACTGTTGCAAGCAAGTTGGTAACATTCGGAAGGTTCTGCCTGTAGAAAGCTTGTCTGAGTGCAGCAACTTTATTCGATTTAGTTATCAGCATATGGAACAAGGCGATCACAGCGCCTTCGAACTCAGCTCCACGACCGGTGTTGATTGTTGTGGGGCTAAATGCTTTCCAGATAATGCTTTCACTGTATCACAACAATCAACTCAGCAAGTTTAAAACTTTCTGTATCTTAAAAGGAAGACGAAAGCTTTAAGCTTCAACATACCAGATATTGGTTGCTATGAAAAGGGAGATCCCGGAGCCAAGACCATATCCCTTCTGAAGAAGCTCGTCAAGGCAGATAACGATGATTCCAGCAAAGAAGAGCTGGAGGATGATCAGAATGGCATTTCCAACACCAAGCTGTCCAACAGGACCGTACATTCCAGAAAGAACATACGCAACAGCTTCACCAATAGCAATCAGAATCCCAAGAAGCTTCTGAGCACCATTCCTACAAAACACACACAGGACACAAGGCATACATGAGACAATGATTCTGATTCGTGCTCTGCTTTAAGGACGTGTATTGTCAATTTAAAAAATACTTACAAGAGAGCACGATCCTCGCGGACATTGTTGTCGACCTCGATAATCTTTGACCCTGCTAAGAGTTGCATCACGAGTCCAGATGTGACAATAGGAGTAATACCGAGCTCCATCACGGTTCCACGGTTCGACGCAAGAATGACACGCATCCAATAGAAGGGATCAGCACCGGTCGTAGAGTGGATTCCATAGAGAGGAAGCTGACTACAGACGAGGAAAATGAAGAGAGAGATCACTGTGTAGATCACTTTCTCTCTGAATGGAATCTTCCTGTCAGCACTCTGAACCTCTGGAAGAAAAGGCAAGAATGGCCTCACCAAATGCAGAACTCGAAATCCTCCTCCCATTGTAACTATCCAACAGGTTTGGTCAAGTTATCAGCTTCTGCTGCAAAATTACATAAGTTTTATACGTCAAACAAGAATGCGAATTGAGAATGAGAATGCCAAATAAAACCACAGAGATTCTCAAATTGATCCTCTTCAGTGTTCGAGGCCTTATGGTAGCAAAATTATATATGCAAAGTCAAAATATTAAACCAGAGACAACACTAGCTAAATTTTGTTATCCAATGAAATCTGAATATAGAAGACACTAAATTATTCTCGATCTCACTCCAGGAAACCAGATCCACCAAGAAGTCTCCATGATTTTTCAGATCCGCATTGCAAAATCTGAAAATCAGGGATGAATATTTTGTTCTACCGCATGCGAACTAGATCCGGACTAATCTAGCTAAAGTTTCCGCAAGCACGGAGACGATTTAGGATTATCAATATGTGTAATCGAGATCGCCGAGAAGCGTAATTACAAAGAGGGATGCTAAATCAAAATTGGTCAAAGAGGAGAAACGAAGAAGCTTTACCTCTGCGAGTTTGTGAGAGAAAGAGCGCTGCGAAGAAGAACAACAAAACAAATGTGTTGAAGTTTTTTTTTTATTTTTTGGTTTTTTTTGCTCTTCAGCTGATGATCAAGATTCTTTTAATAAAAAAAAAATTACATGTCATCAAACCAATAAGATATGAACACGTGGCAGAAAACATTCATTCTGCTCAAAGTGATGACAACATGGCAGCCTAACTCCCTAATTCTTCCCTCTGTTTTTCAAACAGTTTTCACTTTTCAGCTTATGAGTTGTGATTAAGCCCATTACGTTTCACACGAAAAAAATAAGGCCCAACCCTTTTTATGTATATATACTATATATGATGATCTTTTTTTTTTTTCGTCATTTTGCATTGATATTAAGGCCCATAAACGAGCAGATTACAACAGATGTTAAGACCCACAACTTTTAAAAAACCCAATTATAACCCAAATCAAAGAAGATAAGGATTGATAATATGGAGACACATGGTAAACACGTGGAAGGTCTGGGTTGAATGTCGGCAACGGGATGAAGATGCTGTCGATGCTTCGCCGGTCAGAGCTCCGCCGTAGAACCGAAACCCGAAGAGTTTAAACTGAGTTAAAACTCCAATCAGGACTGCACTCACTTTGAATCTGTTGTTCTTTTTTCGTTTATTTTCTTCTCCATTGAAATCCGGTGAAAAATTGAACAGCAAACTAGCTTCTTCATAAAACCACCAATCATCTGCAACTCTGGATTGATCCCTTTGCCTTAAAGGCTCACGATGGGATTCTGGTAGAGAGTTCTCCCAATCAAGAGAGGATGATATCTAAATTGAAGAAGTAGAATCACGAACTTTCACACCGGATTTTATCACCGCCTCACTTATAAAAGGTTCCAAAAGTCAGAGAAGAAAGGGCAAACACACAATCCGACTATGTCGGAAAATTATTATTGGTCAAAGTCGAAGATTATTCTCCGATAAACGGAAGAGAAGATCCGATTTTGATCGGAAATATTTACAGATGGAGAGAAAAAGTGCTCTCGATCTTAAACTAATTATAGGGAAAAAAGTTTAAAATGACAACAACAAAGATAAATAAAGATACAAAACAGGACACTTTAAATCCGCAGGTGAATGAAACGACAAAGTTTTTATAAAGAGATTAACAATGATGAGGTCTTCTCCGAGGGGCAACCTTAAACTTTTCTTGTAATGGCATTGTGAACACAATTTCAATTTTATTATTAAACTTAAAAGACAGATATCATGATGAACCCACTCACTAATTTATGCTATATATGGCTAGCTAAACTTTGATATTAAATAGCTTATCACTGTTTTACACTTTATATTTTCAGATGAACAAAAAAATAAAATTGAAGCCTTTATAAATACGGCTATGCAATTTCAAACTGTTATGGTGGGTCATCCCTCGATTGCGATATACCTTTACCTAAAATATATTTATCTGAATTTGTATTAATAGTTGGAATGAATTCGAATCCACCAATTTGTCTCCAAAATTTATACGTTTTAATCATGGAATATTATTAGGCAGCATCGATTGTTTCTTAAAGCTCAAGATGTAGTAATTATCATACAGTATGATAAGTTATCATAACACACACAACATACATGAAGAGGATATAGTATAGTAATACAAACACATATGCATTGAAGTTTTGAAATCTGATTTTAAAAATCGGCTTTACCAGTTTTTAAATGGAAAGTACCTTACATCTAACAAACAAACTAAGAGAGAAAATTGTTAACAAAAAAAAAAAAAACAAAGTAAGAGAGAATTTAGAAAACCATATTTATAAATGAAGACTATATAGCACCATTTGTTACTGACTTATTGTTCGACGTTTAGTAATTTTATATATTTAGTAATTTTATATATTTAAAGTAAGGAGAGATATTTTCTCACATTTGTTATCCTTTTTTACCTAACTTATAAATTTTCGTATAAGAATGTCCACTCACATTATTAAAGAGTACTCTTATCTGAACACACACACACACATTATGAATAAAAACAGACACATAGAATTAAAAACAAAAGAAATAGTAAAAATGTATGAAGACATAATTACGTATGATATAAGTGCTTATAATTAACCAGTGTTCTCCGACAACATCGACCCGACCACAATTTAATATCCTTGTGAAAGAAGCTTACCCACACTGTTACACATGAAGCTTATTCAATTAAGTGACTAATTCAACCACACATTTATATAATATACGACACCAACACAAACGTATAGAAAACAAACAATATATGGCAGAAAATTATAAAAAATATACAAAAGAAAAAGAGAACATAATACGATCAACCTTTCTTTTCTTCTTTCATGATTTTTCCCACGCTTTCACGCTTTGCTTCAATTTATTTATATTTTTTCCTTTAAAAAAAACAATTTGGTCACTCTTTCTCTCTTTTTGCTGTATCAGACTCAAAAAAAAACTTCTGCTCTCCCAAATTGTCTGATTTTTCTTTCCTTGTCAGGAAAAACAAAAATTCAAAAACCATTGAAACTCTGTTCTCTTTCTCTCACAAACATCCAGAGAAACTTTAATTCCAAGCTCTGTTTCAATGGAGACACTAAAGAAGAATCCGTCCATCAGAAGAAAAAACAGGATAGCGAGAACATTCCAGAAGGTATGCAGCTTGAGATCGACGTCGACGAAGGTCTCTTCCAACAACGGAATCGGAATCTGTATGTTGAAGTCACAGAATCCAAACTTCGACGACGAGGATGATGATGGAGATTCCGTCTTCGATCTGAAGAGTACTTCGAGCAGTAGCAGGAGTGGAGAGACCAAGGTTCGAGAGCGTCGGAGAGCCGTCTTAGAAGCGGTGGTTGCGAAGATCTTCGCCAGCACGACCTCCATTAAAGCCGCGTACGCGGAGCTTCAGATGGCGCAGCGTCCGTACGACAACGACGCCATTCAAGCGGCGGATACGGCGGTGGTCGAGGAGCTTAGAGCGTTATCGGAGCTGAAACGGAATTTTCTGAGGAAGGAGCTGAATCTGTCTCCTCAAGTGGCGATTATGCTCGCTGAGATCCAGGAGCAACAGAGTTTGATGAGAACATACGAAATCACAATCAAAAAGCTCGAATCGGAAGTTACTGAGAAGCAATCGAGAATCGATTCGTTGAAGACGAATCTCGAGGAAAACTCGGCGTTCAACAAATCGCTGGAAAAGAAACTCACGGCGAGTGGATCGATCTCTCCGTTCGATAGCATCCAGTTTTCGAATTTGAATTTAAGCCACTTCGTTCAGATTCTAGGTTTTACGTTGAGATCCGTACGGAGCTTCGTCAAATCGGTGGTGAAGGAAATGGAATCGGCGAGCTGGGATCTCGACGCCGCCGCTTCCGCCGCCGTATCGATAAACGTACGAAACGCCTCCACCGTCTTCGCAAGGCCGAGCCACCGTTGCTTCGCGTTCGAGTGCTTCGTGTGCGGGAAAATGCTGGAGAATTTCGAATCTCCCAATTTCTCGTTACCTAACATCGACGAGAAACCGAGCCGTGAGCAATTCGAAAACCTAAGATCCGTCGACCCGGTCCAGTACTTGACCCGAAACCCGGGTTCATCCTTCGCGAGGTTCACGCTCCAAAAGTACCTGAGCGTTGTACACGCGAAGATGGAGTGTTCCTTCTTCGGGAACTTGAACCAGAGGAAGCTGGTTAACTCGGGCGGGTTTCCGGATTCGGGTTTCTTCGCAACGTTCTACGAGATGTCTAAACGGATCTGGCTTCTACACTGCTTGGCGTTTTCTATCAGCGAAAACGTCACGGTGTTTCAGCTCAAAAGAGGTTGTAGATTCTCTCAAGTGTACATGGAGAGCGTGAAAACAGGCGACGAGTCACTCTTCCCCGGCGATAATGCAGATATCCGGGTCGGGTTCACGGTTGTTCCCGGGTTTAAGATCGGCGATTTCGTGATACAGAGCCAGGTTTACTTGACTCCGGTGCCTGGTTCTCACCCGCCGGTTAACTCATGAGAATCACATCAATAGCCAACGAAAACAAATTCAAAAGAAAATTTCACGCGCCGGCGAAGAAAAAGAGCGGTGGCGCGTGTAAAAGGAATGGGTGGGTCATGATTGGCCTTGGTGGCAGCAGGACTGGCATGTGGGACCTGTTTAGAATGTGACGGAGACAGAAAATGGCGCGAAGGGACAATCATCATCAAAATAGTTTAGTGAAAGAAAACGATAAATGATAAAAAATTTATTACAAAGTTTTAGATGATAAAATACAGCAAAGTAGGATGGCATGGAAGATGAATAGTATTCTATGTTTTTTTTTGTTTTTTACATTTTGTTATATAACTGATACTTTTATAATGTCTGGAGTTGGTCGGACAATGCTTGTAAATATTTTTATTTTGGCAGCTAAAACTATAAGTCTTAGTTATAAAGAAAAAGGTTATGAGTTATGACGCCGTAGCTAGAATTTTTCTTATAATTATGACAAGATTGTGGAGTGACTTGAGAATAAGATTAGAATCTGTTAAAAAAAAAAAAAAAAAAAAGATTAGAATCTGTTTTTAGAGTCAAACATTTGTGCTGCGGCGGCTTTAATTGACCTGATTAACTTGTTAATAGTATCAGTTTAGCTAATTTAGTGATATTAAGATTCATATTAATCAAATATTGAATGGTATGCGTGAGCTTAAGAAATTAGTAAACGTGTATAGATAATGAATGGAAAAAAAGGGAGAGTGTGAAAAAAATATTTGGTTTGGGTAAGAGAGTGAGTGAGACAGACCTGTATGACGTAAGACAATCAATCTTGTGAGATAGATTGACCAATAAGAGAGTTCCACACACGACCGATTTTTGAAATCTAACTTGTTAGGCAAACGATTAAATGCCGCTGTATAATTAATTCCTTTGATTTAATATAGATGGATGCGAGTTGGTCTGGCATGAATCAATGATGAAAATGAAAAGGAATAAATTAAATAAAAAAGGAACGAAAATTAGATATCAGTTTTCATTCCATACATTTTAATCATTGTAGATTTTATAAGTTGGCTATTTTGATGTAAGAGATATGGTCATTTGAACACAAATTCAAACGTAAATAAACAATCAGAACTAATGTAAAAGCTATTTTTCAAAGTAGTGTATTGCACTAATGATGTCAATAATATAAACTTTATTGCAGTGACTGGTCTTTTGATCATCGGTTTCTCGTTTTAAGATAACCTTGTATTTTGTGTTTCAGGCTATAGTTATAATGCGCTAATAATATTGCTATATTTTACAAAATGAGCAACAACGTGAAGCGTTGAGTTTGACGACGACATTTTCCTTCACACTTTTTTTTATATGTTTAATTCTATATAAGATGTATTTCTCCACAACTATATGAATGAGAAGTAAGAATCGATGCCCTCTATTTATATAGATGAATATCCAATATAATTAAGAAAATCAATCTAAAAGGAAAATCACGAGCATTGATTTTGTTCTTTATGAAGTACATTTTGTATTTAAAACTTAATCATAAATATACGTATCAATCACAATTAATATATATATATATATATTTGCCTTGGTGAAATCACGTATGTACTGGTTTTTGTTTATTAGAGCGTATATACTGATATTATAAAACTTATAAGTTTATACATGGCCATAGGTCGCATGTACGTATACGTACCAAACAAAACACCCAACTAATTCAGCTCTTTTCGGGTATGAGACTTAAACTTTGCGACGAACACATCGTCTAGGGCTAGTATATGTCTGTGTATGCGATAATGGGGATACACTTTTGCATACGTACGTTACGTATATCGAGTTTGCCCAGTAACGAATACTGGACTTATATTGGGTTGGATGGATGGATCATACTTTACAATATCATATCCAATCCAACTTTAAATTAATTGTTTTTATTTATTACATGGAATGGAAAATATAAACTACTTTATCCCAACATGACAACATGTCGACGCGTTAATATGTCTTGAAATTAATTTTTACAATATTATTTATGATTTTGCTAAACTTAACAGGTTTTCTTTACAGAGAGGTTTACGAATTGACGTTTTATTTTTATTGGTGAATCATTTTCAAGTAACACTGCTTTAAATAACCGATTTGCTGGTCCGATATCGACATAAGAAATCGTTTGTTGAAAATGGAATTCGGTCGGAAATTGGGTGACAATTTTGACTATCATAACAGTACGAAATTAAATCATTACAGTAGATATTAAATTAAAGGTTAATTTTAAATTCGAAAATAATAAAAAATGATTCACCAATAATTACAGTGGAAGCTAAACATGGAAATAATTGATTCCTAAAAAGGTAATGGAGTCTGGAAAACAAATGCAATGAGATTAGTCAGGAGCTTGAGATACGAATGCAATGTAATCTGTAATGGAAAAAATCCCATAAAAATGTAATAAGTTATTAGTATTACTGACCAAATATACTTATGTTAAAATGCAAAGAACTGTGCGTTAGGTGTATGTACTTATAAAAGAACAGTAGTATTATACATTATTTTCAGTTGTCCATATTTCTACAGTCGAAATATACAGGATGACATATCTCTAACTGATTGCAGTTTGAATAATCCTCAAGAAAACTATACGAATCTCTAATAAATGAGCGGTGGCCTAGGGCCAGCCAATTCAACGCTACCTCTACAAGTAACTACCAACTTTTTTCCTTTTGAGTATTAGTATGATTGAAATCTCTCATATATATATATATATATATATATATATATATATATTATACGAAGCTTGGATTATGAAGAGGTTTAGGTAAGTGTTTTGAATTTTTCCATTTGGTTCTCAACTTTTCACTATAGTTTCAGTTTCCAATAAAATCTCTATACGAATCTTAAATCGATTTAAATAAATTTGCAACACAAACATTTACGACTTGTTAATTAAAGTTCGTTAATGGTAGTATTAAACATTGGTAAGGACTATATAGCTGATATTGTTTTATAGTACTCATTCTATGATTTCTCAATGTATTATATGTAAGTTGTACTTGTAAGTTGTAACCGAATCCCCTCAACCACTAATTTCAAGAGCATGGCTGCATATAAATTTTATACTACTTATTAAATACGCCGAGTTAATAAGAATCGATCGATTATTAATCTCGGTCAATAAGGAGACAACCGTAGCAAAATGAAGAAAAATTACATAACATTTATTAATTAATTACAAGATCGTGTCATATGGAAAACAGTCAAAACACTAAACTAATTTCGACTAATTTACACAAGGAAAATTTTAGTAGCCTAAAAATGTATATATTGTTTAAATAAAATAAAAAAAATTGTAAATCCCAAAACAAAGGTCTCTACCTCCTCGTCGGAAATTTCGTATTATAGTCAGGAAAAAGAATGTAATAAATTGACAAAACAAAAAAAGAAAAAGACCTAAAATGAAATACGAAACAAACGGAGACTATCAATGGCCAACGCCGGGACTGGGAACGGATTGAAGAAGCCGATCAACGGTGGAGAGACGTCGAGATCGGAGCTTTACGGCGGAGATGGCGGCGTGACCCTTTTTGCTCGGCGTTGAGTTTGGGATTTTGCCCTTTGGCAGAGCAGTTAGGGTAGTGGTTTTGGTCACGTGAGGCACGTGACTCTTCTCTTCTTTTCTCACCGTCAAGCTCTCTTGTTTCTTCATGTCCAAGAGCTTTCTTGAAGAAACCGGCAACGGCGAGGCCAAGGCGATGACGGCTATGACTAATAAAAGCCAGAAGGTCACTAGACGAACAGCCATGAAAAAGCTTTAATCTTTCGGGTGAAGACGTGAAGTAGTCTTTTGATTTGAGAGAAAAAGAGAGAGAGAGACGAATTCGATAAACAATATAATGAGGTAAGACTTAAGGTTGCTACGAAACTATGAGGTACTATGTATATATATAGTCAATAAATAGAGAGAGTTCCTATTTTAGACTGTTGATAGAGTGACTAATTAATACAATGGTGGGAATCATTATTTGTCTTTTTGATTTTTGTTTTTTTTTCTTGAATAGTTTAAAAGTGAGACTCTACCACATGCATGCATATCAAATTAGTATAACTTGGTTAGACTTTTCAAACTCTAACACATGTTTTCCATGAAATTTCATTTATATGGTGATTTGGGGGAAAATGAAGAAATAAATTAAAAATCAACATTCCAAAAGTCATGTACAAACTTAAGAAAGAAGATTCTTGGCAGTTTCGATTGTACAAAGAATTATGAATTAAGTACTCAAAAGTCAAAGAGGAACCAGCAGCCTGAAGAGGAAAACTAAAAGGATAATTGACATAAAGGTAATATCACCAAACAAAATTGTTATTCCAAAATGTGAAAAGTCTTTAATTTGCAAGGAGGCCAAAGTCAATAGATCAAATAAAAACTAAAAGAAAATAAAGAGAAGAAGAAGAGAATTTTGACTTGAAAAGAAAGGGATTAGTCATCTTCGAGAGTACAAAGATTGTTTAGTCAGTACGAAATTATCTGAATAATCTTTAATGAATCGAGTTAAGTCCTATGTACGTAGTGAATCAAGTTAATCAATTTAATACTGTGAGACTAATTTAGTTAATTAGTTAGGTAGGCTAATTAAATCTCTTGGGATACGGTATTAGATACGATGTAACACGTGGCGGAGTTTGGTGAATGATGAAGTTGATGTTTTTCAAAGTTTGAAAGCCGCCGGCCACCATTTTCAACGGCGGTCGTCACGCCACAGCCAAATGTTAGGCTCCCAAGTTTCACAATTTCCGGTTCATGTTGTTATCCCAACTTTTTTGGAGTTTGTTTTTTCGGTCTGTGGTATATTTATTTAATTAATTCTTGAATGTTGTTAATTGTTACATGATATCTGTGTAAAGTGCCCCTATTTAAAATGGACCAACTTTACTAAAACTTGATCACCAACTTTTTATTTTGTCTAAATTAATCTTTACAATATTATATTATTATACATATTTCACAGGCATTCATCACATGTTCATTGTGACAATGCAAGATAAATTTGTTAGCATTGTTGAAATTTTTGAGTTTAAATAAAAATTTAATTGATATAATATATTGTTTCACACATACTTTCAGACATAGCTGGAATAATACTAGCAATGCAACAATTTTTCAGAAATTTTCCTTTTTTTTCCAAAATATCACTAACGTTGGTGAAAGCTTTTAATAACAATACATAGTATGTTTTTGTATCACTCTTGATTTTTTTTAATATCAAAATCGTATCCATATGTCTAAAATTTTTTTATAACTCTTCTACAAGAATTATTTTTGTTATTGTTACTTTTTTTTTTGGTTAAGGAGAATTCATACAAGAATATTTTTTGGTTAAGGCCATTACTTCTTTGAACTACTTTGTTTCGTCACTGTTTTATGATCAGTAGATAGTACAATTAGTAGAAATTATGCAAAGCGTGTTCACCACATTAATGAGCTAAACATAAATTCGTGGAGGCAAAGAAAAGTCAAAAGCATGGCCGGTAGTAAGACTCCAAAATGAGCCTCCACCGCTTTTCACGTACCATTTTTGCAACTCACGTAACCCTTATTGCTCTATAAAATGACCAATAATTTTTAACCGAACAAATATTATATACTTTTTGCTATATAACTAAAATAGAAATAATGAAGAAAAAAACACGATCGAAGATAAACCTTCGAAAGAGCATGGATAAGAAGTAATTTAGAGGTAGTATATAGATTATTATTTTTTTTGTTTTTTTGAGGGATTGAGATAGTGTTGTATTACTTAGCCAATCCAACCCTTTCCAATTATACAAATCAACTGTGTTTTCTTTTTGGTAGATGTATATATCCGTGACGTCCATGTTACAAAGAATAGATGAATCATGTTTTTGATAATTTAAAATTTAAAAGGTACGAAAAAAAGAAGGTGAAGAAATGACAAAAAGAAGAAGAAAAAAGGGTGGGTGGGTCGGGTCACATGGCCATGTTCTGGTGTTGCCGATCAACAGAGAAACATTGGCGCGTCCCGCGTTTTCATGAACACTGCCGGTCCCTACTAGTCTCCTTTATGTACACATCTGATCTCTTTGTATGTCTACATGCATACACACATATAATTTGTTATAAAGTAGCACATACAATAAATAAATACACGTGCACAACTGAATATACACGAAAATCATCAAATTCGTTTTACATGATAGTAGAATACAGTACTAAATGATGGAACAAAAGAGCAACAATAAAATGAAACTAATACCTACATGATCATCATAGAATGTTTAAAATCTAGTTGTGAATGAATATTGTTCCACATCGGAAGTTAGGAAGTTAGGATGAGACAATACTAATATATAAAGGATATAGACTACTCCAATTATCGTCAATTAATTTTGAGTTAAACGTCAATTGGTTTTGAATTAGATGTCCAAAAACTTTAACACGAGTTTTAATAGATTGACGTTTAAAAATGTGAGAAGTGGTTCACAAAATATAAAAATAATTTTGACAAAAAAATAAATATTTTTGATTAGCCGACTATTGCATATGAAAATCAAAACTGTAGTTTCTTAGGATGTAGAAAATCCGAATAAATATGTTATTTAACACATCTACAATAATCAACCATAACTAAAGTTTTGTAGAAGGACTGAAACTCTGATATTAATTTTCAAGTTGAAGCTTTATCAAAAAAAAAAAAAAATTAAGATGAATCATTTAACCAATAAACCAGCGTTTATCACTTTTTTTTTCTTCAAAACTGTTCACAAATCCCAGCGACAGGAATTCTCTCTATTATCTAGGTGATGCCAACTTTTACTACATTTTTCTTTCTCCTACTCTATAATGGAAGTATCATTTCTAAATCATAACCCTACATTCCAAACTTTTTTGGGTAAATTTTTCTTTTATTGATTATTAGACGGAATAATATGTTTCAGGCTTTGACAAAGCAGTAAACAGTGGGATTGACTTGTGCGACAATTATTCTCATTTTTATGATTTTCCTTTTCATATATTTAATTTAATGTTAAATCTTGGAACTGAGTAAAGTCGTAGTGTTTCGCAAGGTCATAAATGATATGGAAACGGTTTCTCTTTGTCGGGATTGATATTTGACTTGCAATTTTTTAAAATACTAGAAACGACGTGTTTGATCGCGTTGTGCACAACCTATCACACACTCTGTTGGAAGATATACTTAATTTATTTTTGTTATCAGAAAGATATACATATTAACAAAGCGAACTAAGCAAAAAGTTATGGGCTGCCGACAATAATTGCTTCTGCAGCTATTATAATTTATAAGATCTATAATATCGTATTCGATATATAGCTTATAAGCTACTAAATATATATATAGTGCCATATTTATTAAGTTATATCAGAAATAGTTTTGTATCATTTTTTCTTCGAAAATGAAAGCTTATTTTCAAATAATGAAAATATGGTAGCTGAATTCGGTGCTATGGTATATTAAGAAATACAACTTATTCGAACGTCGAACACGAGAGTTAGTGACGCAATTTTCCTCAACGACCTAATAAAAACACGGAAGGGTCTCTCACTGTCGTAATTGCTGACTTTACTCGTAATATTTTTTTTTTCTCATTTACTATGAGTCTATAACAAACATTATGATAACTATATAATTAATCGAAAATTTTCTAAATTAGAGTGAGAAAAAGATGATAAAAAGTTAAAAACTAAACAATGGTTCAACCGGTCATCTGTATATCTTTTTCCAGAGAACAACCAGTCATCTATATATTGAATTCGAATTTCACTACAATTAACATGACACATCAGAGTGTTTTTAAAAGGATGAATGTTTTTATTGGATCCAAAATCATTTCTTATGAAGGGATAAAGTATAGGCAAGAAGGAAATATATATGAGTGGGGCTTTTGGTGAGCAAAATGGGACCTGAAGTGTTGATCGATGTCAGTGGCTAAGGTATCTTACTTCAGACATAAAGCATTTGTTGTGCCTCACACTATTCGTTTTGTCTCAATAAAATTTGCATTTCCATGTATATTTTTTTTCTTCATCAGGTTAAGAAAAAAGATCGAGGTCGACGACAAATGAAAAAGAAAATGTGTTTTGAACGCGCATGTGTCGTAAATTTTTCATTTGTTTGTTAGTTAAAACAAAAAAAATGATTACTTTTCAAAAAAAGAAAAAATTGTTTGTTGTCGCACCGTATCATTTGCTCAATTGGATAGATAACCACGTACTAATGGTACTTTTATTTTTGTTAATGGCATTACTACTAATGGTACTTGCATCTGGATTTTCATTAAAGAGTAAACAATATTCAGTCTCTGGTTGGGCCGAAAGATCTGCACTTAATAACAATGATGATATTTTTGGACGGCTCTTGTAGTTTAGTAACATATGATAAATATTACAAAAAGGAAATAAATATAGATGAAACAAAAAAAAAGAAAAGAAATCAAAATAATGTTAAAACTTTACTAAGACCACCTCCAACGGTGGTATGGTATGGGGTTCTAATTGTGCTTTTGCAATAAAATTAATGTTTTAATGCTTTAAATTCTTTCTTGTTTTAGAGTTTTTAGAGACCCAGCTGAACCCCATATGTGGCATCATTTGATTAGTTGAGCATTTTTATTTTATTTTATTTTATTGTTTTTTTATTCAAATCCTTTTTTTCAAGTGGAGTGTTTCAAACCCCTAAACTATGATTAAAATTCAAATTATGATTTGATTTTCTGTATTCTATGTTTAAATTTTAAATTAATGAAATAATTTGTATTAATAAATTGTTTGTATTTGAAACAAAAATAATTTTTTTTTTAAGAGTCTCATTAGATACTACTATTGGACACTAAAAAAATGAAAAAATCTATAAGAGATTCTAAAATAATAAAGTGCACAAAAAACTATTAAAAATTATATTTGATCTCTTAAGTAGAGGACCATGTTTGGAGATGCTCTAAGATCCTGATTCCTGAAAGTCAAGAAAGATTCAATAAAAGTAGTTTCAGGCCCAATGCATAAGACACGAAGACATAAAACAAAAGTTCCAATACTGAATAACATTGAAATAATATAATAATAATCTTAAAGAAAAGTAAAATACCCAAATACAAAGCGAAACGAAAGCCCAAACTTTGAGGTAAAAAAATAGTATTCTCCGCTGCAGAAAAATTATGAATTGGATGGATTGCAATCACATAAGCAGAACTGAAAAGCTTCATTTGATGGCCGCAATAGTAAGAACTCATAAAATTATAATTTAAAACAAAATGGCTTAGTTTATATTTATTATTTTTTTTACAAAATTATTTCATTAAAAAAAATACCAAAAACCACTGTACATACTGCGATGACTAAAATTAAAAAAAAAAAATATTTGCTCAAGAAAACAGAAAACAAATCCGAGAAGAGGGAGCTAACTTTTCTTTTTTTGAGAAAAAACAGAGGGAGCTAACTTAATTCCACTTCTGTACGTTTTTTTCTTCTCAAATAGAGATTTCGACCAAAATGGTGGCCTGGTTTATTAAAAAAATAAACTCAAACTAGCTAGAGACCTAAGCACAGTCAAATTTACTTAAAAATATTACGATAAGATATAACTGATAAATCTCATGTTATGATAGAAATTTTGGTCTAATATACAGATTTTTTTGGTCATTAACCTTTGAAACCAAGAAGAGAGTTTCTCCAATATTTTTTTCTCTTAATATAGTATCAAGAACTAACGATCCTAACAGAATCTAAAATGCTTACATAGTTCCGCAAGTTTCTTGTGATCTAATCTACAAAGAAGATCATGAGGAATTGTATTTTAATTACAGAAAGAAAAGATCATGGAAAATACAAATAAAAAGCAAAGGTTCGTTGGGGTTGAGCACTGGTGGTGAAGAAGACGACGGTGGAAACGACGATGACTAAAACAAAAAAGATTGATTCGAAAAGTCGTCGGTGGTCTTATATTCCTACCTAGTTCGCTTTGCTTTTATAAAGGTTTTGATTTTCTTTTCCTTTTATTGGTTTTCTTCTCATGAAGTGTCTTGTGATATGAAGTATGAACGTGTTGTTAATGTTGGCCTTATGTGCTTTGCTTAAGAAAACAATTGATGATAAATAAAATAATTTATTTAACATTTATGTCTCTTATTTATTATTTTAATTCCTATTTAATGTTTGATATAAGATCTGTAGTAGTGATGAAAGGATAAGCTGTTTGGATAGTAGAAAACACAATGTTTTGATGTGTTTCATATCTTTTTTTATAAAACATTTTTATTGTTGTTGATAAAGAAACCCAAATTGTAGATTTCTTTTATGGGCAAAATATAGAAACAAAAGTTATATGAAGCGTGTATCAAAGTTTTTTGTGGCTAACTATTCCAATAAATATACATACAATATAATACGTGAATATATATACGTAAATGTATACTTCAGTTATTACAAAACATATATTTCTTTATTAATATCGATAACCATCACAACATATTCTCTAGTAAATGTTTTTTTTTTCTAATTTCGTAATACTACTACATTTTAAAAGGCACATCGTAGATGAACATACACTTAAATATACATATATAGTAAAAATTATGTAGAGGAGGTTGGGCTGCCGCAATTTTTTTAATTTAAAACTCTATAAGTCAGAAGAACTACAGTTTGAACATATATAAATGTACACAAACTTTAATAATAGTAATTACAGAGAGTTTGGCAGGCCTAGTAACGTGAATTAGATCACAACTAATTAATTCATTTGTTTATTTGTGTTATTATTCTTCGCGTAAAGTTTTTTAAAATCACGTACGTAATCATGTACCACCAATTCTTAAGTTATTATTTTTCGAGATGAAGTTCCAAAAATATGATTGTTTAGTCTCTACTATTAGGTTTTTAGATATCAAATTAACTAGCATTTTTTTATCGTTAAATGGCATTCAGGAATCAGGATCTAAGTAAAATTATGAACAATTTCTTACAACAAACTTTGATGCTAGGTAAATAAATGTCAAATACAACCCGCCGGCAAACAATTATCAAAGTGAGTATATAAAGTATCGAAAGTTTTAGTTTCAATAGGAAAATCATCAAAACATTTTTTTTTCTCACTTCCATGATTAGAAATTACTAAATACATCGCGAGGTTAGGAACAACCTACCGGCTATATATATTCCACTTATAAATTAATATTATTTAGATAAAACAAATTACCAGCTACTGTGTATATTTAGAATCTGTCAAATTTATTTTTTAAAAACGAATGAAATACAAATAATCTCAAAATCATTGATTTTGATTGGTTTCTCTCAAAAAGTTACATTCTCTTAAATTTGTTTCTTTATACCGATTTGACAGTAAACTTAGTAATTGCTCTTTTTAGTTCTTGTAAGAGAAATGCAAAACTAGTTTCCTTGTGATAAGCTTTCACTTCTCAACGTTCAACTCTTGACCATCAATGTAAAATACAAATAAAATTGACACCATCAGTTACATATACATAAGAATGAGACCATTTTTATTCAGCTAACTACATCGCAATTCAACCCACAAAGTTATAACTAAACAAAACCGAAAAAATTTAACAAAAAAGAAAGAAGGGCGAATTCTCAAAAAGTAGAGAGATATAACGAAAAAAGGATATTACAAAATCGAATCATACCTTTTTTTTTCCCATAATAATAAGTATAGAGAGAGTGGCTTCTTCTTATGATGTTTATTGTGATTACCGTTGAGAAACTTTAAAAAAAAAAAAAAAGAACAACGCCGTGCGTACAACGCCTCCCATGTGAGCGACAACAATATCCAATAAAATACGACCACGTGTTAAAAGATCTCGACTTGTGACCCCACTACGCTACTCCGGTGACGAAACACCACCGAACACTCCGGCAACTCGCCGAGATCCGCGAACAAAGACTCATCCTCCTCTCCCATCGGAAAAAACACCTCCACGTCATCCGCCTCCGCCGAGACAGCTGTCTTTTTCTCCGACGAGAATATCGGACTCTCAAGAATCGTCGAAGAAGTTGTCTCCATCTCACTAAACCACGCGAACTCGTCTACGACGCAAGAAGGCGTCGTTTCTATCTCTCTCCCAAGAACCATAAACTTATTATTATTACCCTCCTCCTCATCCTCCGGCTCCACCTCGGGTACTACTTCCGGTGCGGGTTTGGGCTCGGGTTTGGGTTTAGGTCCGTTTCTTGAAGAAGAAGTGAGAGGCCAAGGATGGTTATGGTCACAAGTGTAAGTGATGAGGATCATCGTTGGGTCGTCTCTGCTTCTCTCGACTTGCTTCCTCGCCGGACAACCTTTCGTGCTACTACAACGGTAATAACCTCTAGGGTATGGAGATCCCTTAATGGGCTTTTGGCCGTACTTACGCCAGGCCCATGAATCTGACGGTGGAGTTGTGTCGCCTTTGTGCCGAGTTCCTTCCATTTCTTTCATCGGTACGTTCACTACTCTCTTCTCTATGGATCTCCTGCTGTAATTAATCAACAAGTACTGTACATCAGTATATGAATATATATTTGATTTATTTAATGCTAAGTTTTCTCAAGAAATTAGTTATAATTCGGATCAAAGATGTGTTTATTTATGTACCTTCGTTTAGGTGAATGAGAAGAGATGCCAGCGTTGAAGGTTGAAGAATTTGGTGACTCGGGTCCGGTTTCTTGACTGCTTTCGTGATCATTGTAGCTTCTCGCCATCTCTAGACCTCGCTTCATGTTTATATTTTCTATAGACTATAGTTATATATTTACAAGAACCAAACGAGGATCGATGATATCGACCAAGAATCGGTTATTTCGTTGATCTTGGTCGCTTTTGGAAAGATGTGAGTTTCAGAAGGAGGAAGATGAGTAGAAGTAGAGAGATGGATATGAGAAAGAGAAAATGGAGAGAAGGTGGAGAAGAAGAGGAGTTGTGTATGAAAGAGGACGTGCGAGCATATGTCAATTTAATCTCTACTAGTTGTTATTCTAAACAATAATAATACTTTATATCCCTATCATTTAAGAGAGGGACCCCTATTGATTATTATTTTTAATAGATAATATTTTGTCTATAAGGCGATGGTTACATATGAACACTCTTTGTTTATGATATAATAATTTAATTGCGTTGTTTGAAGATGGGGTTAGGTATTATTAGTATACACTTGTTTGTTTTATGTTTTATTCATAATTGTTCAAACTCACTCTTCTTGTTTACAATGTATTAATATGATTGAGACATGATTAGGTTTATTGGGTGGTGTAGTGCGTGTGAACAAGGAAATGGTAACAAATCTAATCAAACTTTACTATTCGTTTAAAGATTTGTTTTAGATCTAAAGTTTATTTCTATCCTTTTCAAGAGCTTTTATATTCACAAAAAGTTTATTAGTGTTCTCATCTTCTTTATTTTTACAGCATCTAGTGTCTCTCATCTATACAAGTCAGATTAGGTCTTTAGCTTAAGTAACTCCGATTAAGAGTGCATTCTAATTAAAGAAAAATTTCCAATCATTTTTAAAATGATGTCATCTCATTAATTCATCACATTAACCCATTCAAATTGGTTATGTATTTTGACATAAATCACACCTTTTTTTTTTGAGTATTCGCTATGTTTCTTGTTTTGATTATTAGCCATAAGCCCATAACATAAGATTGCATACATAACTATATCATGTAAAATATATATTGAAAAAAAGATATTATTGTTAAAAGTGCTATCACTTATCTCCTGCATGAGATACAAACCCACTTTTCTTGTTATGTTTAACTTTATGGATTTTTGGACATCTTTTGTTGGCATATGCAGATGTTCCAAGTGTACAATACAATCCCAATGACTCTCAATTAGTTGCACTCCAAAGTACGAGCCAAAACTATAAATAAAGGATTTATTAAAATTAAAGTCTTATGACCTTTTCCTTCACCAAAAGCAACATCATGAGTGGATGAAACGCATATATAATATAGTTATAATGTTTCAGATTTAATAATTAAAATCCTTATTTCTAAGCATATAGATAATCTTATTTTATGAGCGATGATTATCATTTAGTGATCAAAGTTTACTCTTTCTTTGCGCTGATCTCAACTAGTGACAAAGAAAATGGAATATATGGACTGTAACATGGAACAGTCAGCTGTACGTAAATGAAATATATAATAAGGAAAAAAATATTTAATATGATTATCACGTCTTATTTGTCTCTTTTTTTTTTGTTCTCTTCTTTTTGAGATTTTGTCTCTTAAGATTTTCTCAAGAGGAGAGTTCCATATCGATCGGTCGTGCTTTGAACATCTTATACAATGGCTTATTTCTCCATCAAGCTGCCCAAACATCATATCACTGCGATAATTTGTCTCGCGATGCAAGCTTTCGTCTATGCAACATGGAAAAAAGTGACACAACATTGCACTCATTGGAATCTCGACATGCATTTTCTCTCATTACCGAAATCTCTTGTTCCAGTTGAGAAAAAATAGATCCGATATCCTATGCACAGAGAAACACCAAGAATTGAATCGTACCTCACTACTAGGTTTTGTGTTTCCAAACCACTCTAGAGCATTCTTCATTTGCGGTATCGTCTTTTTTCCAACGTTAAATTTCCTTATTGTTCTTTCTTGCTCTGTAAAAAAGAAAAAAAAAAAAATTCAAAGACATTAACTGTCGACCAAAATTTTAAAATACTCAAAAGAAATTTAAATACCTAAATTATAATAAAAACTCTAGGCTATCTCATAACAAAATAGAAAATTGACGGCTGGGAAATTCTAGTGATAATTAAACTATTCTTTTTTTTTCTTCTTGATAATTAAACTATTCATAGTACGTATATATTGGACAATGATTAAAACACTTGTTGCCTTGTTAGTAAGATTGGTAAAAAGAAAAAAAAAAGCAGTAAGAAAAATCTAGTAGAGAAATTATGATGGAGAGCCATATGGAGGGATAAAAGGTTATGATGGAGAGCCATATTTAGTTTGATGAAGCATTTTGAATATCCGATTCTATCTACTGAAAAATTAGTATTACATAAACTGCAACCTTTATTATTCACCTTATGAGACAAAAACCATCAAATGATTACACATTTTCTTTTCAAGGGAAAGGAAATTATTTATTTTATCAACATGAACTAATAAAAATATATAAAAAGTTTGCGTGTTGACTTGTCATTTTATTGCCATCATCTTCATGCCTCCGTTCGGTTTGATAAACAAACACAGCCGTGTTGCCAATTTGCCAAATAACTATAATTTTGCTTGAATATGTAAAATAATAACCTCTATCACAAAACGTAGTGTCTGACTGGTACTAATTTTTGATTTTTGTTTTTTTATAAACCCTGAAAGTTTCAGGTTTTCGGTTTCTAATTTACTTCAATGTACAAGGTCAATTGTTATTAATATATCGTTTAACAGATAAATAATTTTTCAAAGTGAGGTTCAATAAGTGATTTTGAGTACTCACCTAGATCATCACTTACTTAGTTTTCAAAGGATTCAGTTATTACTTTGTTCTGAAATTATAGATATATATTAGTTTTCTTTTGCTTTGTGATATTAAAGCTGTTGTTTTTTGTAGTATGAAATTTACTGTCTTTTTGATGTTTTTAAAAAACTAAGGAAATTAAGATTTAGATTTTAGATTTTAGAAAAGAATAAATTATAAAAAATAATGAAATAAAGGTGGCGCAAGTTTGTGAGAATAGTGGAATTTATTCACAGATGTTTAAACATAATGATTTTATAATTGTAGTAAAAGTTAGAAAGCATTTAATTTAACCAAAAATAGTACACCCATATTTTTTTAAAAATAATTTGACAGGTAATAAGTTTAAAAATATTAAATGATATTTTTTTGTTATTTTTTGTTTTGTTTTGGCGTATATTTTTTATTTATTTATAGTTTAAACATAAAATACACCAACTGTCTAATAAGTTTTGACAAGGAAAGGTCTAATTTTGCTAATTTGGAATTTGGATTGAATTATCTGATCTTTTGGATTAAACTGAAATGTATTGATGCGTGAAGCAATGTGGCTACAATATAATAAATTTAACAATATTATAGCCACGATTTGGCATACTATATTTAAATATATTATTGGCTGACTGCATTTATATTTGTTATTGGTGGCTAATATCATGGAATATTTTGTTATTAATAAAGGGGACTAATAATTTGGCATCTCTGACTTTTCCTAAAACCTCGGCGTGGTTCTTGTGCAACATGCATGATTTTATTTCAATATTTCTAGATATTTTTTTGGGGTCCATTTTCTTGTATTTCTACATTTTTCCCAACCAATATTTCTTGATTAATTTAATATTTTTTCATTGCTTCATGTATGGTGGCATATTAGAAACTATGTCTCATTAGGGATCTCAACGTTTGATAGAATGAGATTACTATAGTGATAGGCACAACAGTCGATATTATACAATCATGAAATCCAAATCCACTCCATCACCTTCATTCCCAAATCGCCAAACATAGACTGTTTATTGACAGTTCTTAACGACTATCATTTGTGACCCCGATCAAATGTTGCTTGTTTACATGTTGTAACAATTAGTGATTAATCATAGCGATTTACGACTCAAAATTTGAGTTGTTAAATTTTCAGCAACACTATTAAAGCAAAAAAAAATTATGAGTTCTTTATGCCTACTATAAGTAATTATTTTGGTTTTAAAACTCAAGACCTCTGCAAACGCAAATGCTTAAAAAAATTAAATATATTAATGAAAATGAAAAAGGTATATGCAACATGCTTCAAATGTTAGCTTTAAACCCAAACTAAAACACTAATAAGCGGTAAATGTAAGAAAAAATGCAAACGTAAAGTCAAAATGCAAAAGAAAAAAAAAACAAACGCGGCTGCGACATGCAAAGAAAAATATAAATGCCAAAGACTAACGTAAAGACGTATGCAAACACGAATACGAAAAGTCGAAAACTATATGCAATATGCAAACATGAATGTTAAATGCAATAAAAATGTGAACGCTACATGAAAACACAAACACAATTGTAAAAGTTAAAGGAAAACGAAAAGGCCATAAATGTAACAAAAATAATCGAATGTGAGCGCACCATTAAAACACAAACACAGTCGCTATATTAAAAGACTAACGTAATTATATTAAACGCTAACAAACATGTTAACGCCTGAATGGTAAACACAAATGTAACGCTTTATGGAAATACAACTATACAAGCATTATCGCTAAATACAAACATAAAGTTTAAATACAAATGTAATCTCAATATGAATCCGGACGGTTAGTGTAAACACAAAAACATTTTCACTACTAAACCCTAAATACAAAATACAAGATATAAAGGCAAAGCAAGTCCTAAATGTAGAAAAGTGCACTCAATTTAGTCTTTCAAAATCAACTACTGGACTTAATGGCTTAATGCCTACACATTTAGATTTTCAAAATGTTAACATCTAACTAAGAACATGACTCAAACATTTTTTTTGTTAAAGATAAAAAACCATGAATCAAATACTAAACATAAACGCAAACTCCGTATGCAATCACAAATTTTACAAATTATCTTAATTGCTGCTTATATATGAAAAATATTGTTAATCAGATATTAAATTTATCTAGTAAAAACTAGCATCAAAATACATTTTTTTTTTAAAAAAAATTCGGCATAAATCTAAACTTGAATTTTCTATGGATCTGCTACGTTACAGAAGCTAAACTGAGTTTCAGAACAAGGTCATATATATATATATATATATATTTAAAAGTCTCTATTCGAAATTGAAACTCAAGATATGAAACAAATTTTGAGCTTCTTCTTTTCTTCTTTAGTCCTTTTCCCTCCTAAATGTTAAACCGGACCACTTGGCTTGACAAGAGCTTTAACCAGAATATGGGTAATATCATCAACACTCCACATCTTGTCTTTAGATTGAGGTACAACATTGGCTTCCATGGCAAATGTATCTCGGCATGAAGCCCTTGCTTGAGTCACACTCAACCCCAAATCTTCAAATGCTTGAAGAATGTTCACAAGCTTATCGTCTCCCTTTAGACTTTTTATCTTTACTTGAAACCCTTCCCCAAGCTTCTCCACCTTTACCTCCTGTCAAAGTTTACAAGAACTTCTAATATTAAAACAATTAATATTCGGCGACTTGACCTTCGTAACTTCCCAATTAATAGAGCGCATGTGGATACCTCAGTACGTCATGCAGATATTTAAACTAAGAAGCCTATAAAAAAGCTAATTAACTCCAATTTTTGTTTTTGCTGCTTGCTTTATATGATCAAGTCTAGAATTGGTATCGTTGTATAAAAGGATTTAGTTCAAGTTTGGTGAAAAGACTTACATATCAAGGCTACTCACAGAGTTTTGAAATGAAGAAAACAGATTCTCAACTGATTATACAGAGATTAATCAATATATGACTACGTGATATATTTAGAAGAAATCAGAGAAGAAATCTGAAACTGGTGTAAAGGTTCAGTTTTGATAACCTTGAAAACTTCAGGTTCCTTCTGCAGAGCTTCTATCTTGAGTTTGAGCATGGCAATGTATAGAAGAGCCTCCCTAGTCAGCATGTTTTGGTCGTGGTTACTCTGCAAAATAGCTCATAATTGGCCTCAAACTTCCAAGCACACACACACATATATATAAGGATATGAACATATATATATATATATAATAATAAACATACAAGTTTAAAATGGTTTAGCTTTCTAAGAAAATGAGGCTTCCCTTGGCTCGCCCTCTTCTTTTGTTCACTAGCCACCATCACTTTCTCAATTTTTTTGAACTCCTTGAGACAAGGATTATTATTTTTTTGAACTTTAAAGAATATATCTCTGAATCTATATATACACACATTTTCTTGTCGTGTAGTACGAAACATACATCTTGGTGATGAACTAGCAAAGCACCATAAACCAAATTAGATTAAAATAGTAAAATATAATATAATAAACAATGTATGGTGGTTGAAGAGATATTCTTATAAAAACCTAAGATTTGACGTGTGAAATATTTAGATACTTGGAAAGTTGTTATTGAACAATACCTAATACCAAATGTCCAAAACCGAAGCAAAATCTGTGAACACCTCTTCTAACCTTAACCGGAGATCCGATTTAATATTGATTTAATATCGGGTTGGATCGATCTAATTTTTTTTTTTTTGGAGACAGAAAATCTTATTTAGATACTCGTCTGGGGATATTAAATAATATATTGTATTTATTTTATTTTTCTATAGATGATGCATCTATTGGATAAATTGTAATTTTACCAATAGAATATCGAATTTCATTAAACCCATCAGATTTATTGGGACATAAGGTGAATCGTACGTAGTCCTGAATGCTTTCCTACGTTATCTTTTAGCACGGGTTTAAAAACATCGAGGATAAAAAACAAAATGATTTCGAATAAATAATCTTGTATTATGTATATATCACAAATCACGGGAAATCAATAGAATTATATGTATGTTGAGTTTGAGCATACATCGATGAACGCGAAAGGAGAATAAAACAATGGCAAACTTCCAGATGTCAGAGACAGATACCTATGAAACAGCCATAAAAATGCTACCGACACAAACATAGCAGCGAATACAAAATGTGTTGCATACATACTTATATTATAAAAAGAATTGGGGAGGGAATAGAGATAAGATGAATCACGGGTTGCTTCTTTACGTTTGTCTCACTTCGAAAGGTACGTAAGAAAGCAGACTAAGTGGTAAGCAATGGGCTGCACTGTGATTGTTTCACATGCTTCGTTACTACCATTTTCTCTGTTTTATTCTCTATCCTTATCTTTCCTATTATAAGCAAGCGTTTTCTTTTTATTGTGACAGTAATCTATACATTCTTAAAAAAAAATTGAATTTTTCCCTTAAAAGTTAGATATAAATTTTTAGCCAAAAAAATGGTTGGTATTTTTAGCCAAAAAAATGGTTGGTATTTTTAGCCAAAAAAATGGTTGGTATTCTTTTAGTTTAATTGTACTGACAGTATCATTTGGTAGGTAGAAATAGAAAATTTTCATATTTCATAATTATACTGTCTTAAAGCTTTAAATATTTATTCACATAACTAATGAAAAGAAAACTCTAAATAAAAGAGTATTCACCTCATATTATTTTTCAATATTTTATGATTTAAGAGTTCATCGATTTTACCCGAAAACATAACAGAGGAGGATGTAATTCTTTCCCCAAAGTAATTAATACAAGAAGAGAATCTTAAAAAGTGTATGCAGTTGGTCTATATGATGCCTTGGTATCGAAATTGAACCCTTGTTAACTTAGAGTTAAGAGGAACATCTTAATAGGTACGTACGTTGGCTAAGGTTCAAGGTCTGCCAGTTAAAGAGGATTATTTATTATCCTGGTATTGCTCCAGGAGACTTGATAATACAAAAAAAAACCATTGCTTATGGATGGATAAATAGGTGGCACTAAACTAAGTAGAAAAGGAAAAAAAAAACAAATGACTAAATGAGTATCCTAAAAGACAGAATGTATACGACGAAGATTTATCACGAGACGTTTGTCGTTAAAGCTGTTAATATGAATAAAGGAAATGGGAGCAAATAGATAGAGAGTGATGAAGAGCGTTGTTGTGTGTAAAGAGAAAGCTGAAGAGGTGACCAATAGACTAAATCCAATTTTTGTATACAAAACTACAAAACAAAAACATATATGGAGAAGTTAACATTAATATGGTCTGAACCCATCAGTTGCAATTTGTCTTTTCTTATGTCATCACAATACATCTAGTATCTGCTATTTTTTTTGTACTCAGTTCAAAGTTAATAATAGGACTACCATTTAGTTATCGACGAAAGTACGTGTATCACATATATTTACCTCGATGTAGACAACTCTAGTTATAAGTAGATTGTTTGTTCACGTTTCGAGTTTGCATTTGTATTTTCATATTTTGTGATGATCAAAATGTGAAGATGCATTGTTCAAAATAAAAATTATTCGTCCAAGTTCCCTTAGTTGGGAATAGAAGAGCACTCCACGCCCATAAACATCCTCAAATCACAGCCAAAAAAATCTTTGGTTTTCCAAAGATTTTGTTTAAATTTAACCTTTTTGGTGGTTAGGTATATTAATATATTGGCGTCGAAGAATTACCGGGCAAATCTCCTTTGGCAGAAAGCTCACCACAAACAAATGCATAGTGAAGTTATATACATATGCAAGAGTGAAGTAATGGGACTCCTGCCAATAGAGATCTTGCCCTGTAATTGCATTTGCACCTTAATTGATCTTTAACTCTATAAAATACAATTTCTCTTGAAGAAATATTAGTGTGTTTATATAATATTGCAAAGAAGCATATGCGATGGGACGATGCTTTTGTTTGTTGTAAAAGAGTCTTGCGGTATGATTCCCAAAATAGTGTCTTTCAATGTATAATCTCAAAGGAATAATCTCTTACGCCTACGTACTCTCTTGCAAAAATCCAACTTGAAATGCTTTTCATTTATTTTTATTTTTATGGCATCCGAATCCTAAGTCACTATGAACGTTGAATCCGAAACGATTCAGCCGCAAGAATGAAATTGGAGGAGCAAAGGGATTTGCAATATCAATCAAAGACCCTACATTATACCAGTTTAGCCTTTTTACAAAAACATATTTAACGAGCATAATCTTGTCTCATCAGACGGTTGTTGTTATCGTTAATTGTATTTGTAGGTATGCATGTAAGATTCTTCTATAAGAAATAAAAATTCACGGGTTATTGATATGTTTGGGTTGTAATCGTTAAAAGATGTTTACATTCGAGTATTCAACAAATGACGTCAGTTTATTTATTTTGTAAAATGGGAAATATTTGTCTATTATTTCGTATAGGGATGGGAAGACTGAAGAGAAGGCATTCAAATATGTTCTATGACTTCCCAGAAATGTGCTATGAACAACTTGGTACAGGTTACAAAATGCTCTATCCCCGAAAAAAAAAGAACTAAACAAACAACAAATAAGATTAATTAAAATACAGTAGTAAAGTAGAAAAATGTTTGGTTTGAACCAAAAAAAAATAGAGAAAAGGTTTCATAAAAGTAGAAAATTGATTATTTTCTTTGAAATGGAAGATCCATGGGAATATCCTTTGCATACTCTCTTCTACTTTAGTTTTGGGCCGAATAACGTGATTGGGAATAACTATTTTTCCGATATAGATTATTTGATTTAGGTATATATAGTTTGTTTTTAATATTTATTCAGTTATTTCTTTAGCACCTAAAGGCCTTATTGATTTCAATATATTTTATTTTTAGAGTTTTGTAACATATTCAGACTCATGAATTCATATTTAAAGGCATGTCTACTTGGCTCTTTCAATGAAGATATTGGGATAAAAAAGACAGGTATGTTCATTCGTGCAAGATAGGCTGAACAATATAATTAACTCATGGTTGACTAAATTCTTATTGAAATGAGGAAAAGAAGTCCTGATCAAATCAGTCAGTCAAGCCCTTCTAACATATGTTATATTCTGCCTTACCAAAAGAGATAACAAACAAAATGAGAAATGGAATCTCCAATTTCTGGTGGCGTAATAAGAGTAAATAAATACTGGTTGGCTTGGGATAAAACTTGTTGTCCACTAACATCAGAAAGGCTTGGGTTCGAGACTTTCAAAAGTTCAATTTAGCGCTACTAGCTAAACAACTATGGAAATTATTCAAAAAAACTATGCAAATTATTGATTTATCCCATTTCGTTATTAGCACGAGTAATGAAAAGAAGATATCATCGCTATTCCAATCCCATAGAAGTCAGCAAAGCAGATGTCCTGTCTATGTATGGCGAAGCATGTAGCGGTCAAGAACCTCCTTAAAGCGGGTTTACGAAAAACTATTTGAGTCGAGGTTCAATACAAAAGTATGGAATGACTTGACGTCTTGACCTATTTTATGTAGAAAACACATTAAAGATCAAAGAGAGGTAATTCTATGGTAGGGCTGAGGCTTTGTTCTGAGAAGTATAATTATTAACTCTCTTCTTTATGGTATAAAGCTTTGTTTTACGTACAGAACATTTTAAATTAATAGAAAATTATTCAAATAAAATGATATCTCGGTTTACAAGAAAAAAATTAAAGACTAAAGGGATATAAAAGAGTCATAATTGATTGTTGAAATTTGGTGATGGATAAATGCTGTAAATGAAGTCAATTTTTGCTTGAGCATAAAGCATATCCTAATGTGTGAAAAGCAAGAAGACCGCTGTCTGAGAATGGTAGAAAACAAAGAACAATTTATAAAATATGTCTCACCTTCTACATTCATAAAAATAGGAAGAGAGATCGCCAAAATTCCATGTATGAACATGACCAAAGCCAGCACGAAGACATAAAAAGTGGAGTTTACTTATTCGCAGATTTTGATCGATCAATAGCGTGTAACTATTTTTGAAATATTGGCGCAGAAGAATTACCGGGCAAATCTCCTTTGGCAGAGAACTCACTACAGTGCAATGCATAAAGAAATGCAAAGGTCAAGTAATGGTTTCCTGCCAATAGAGATCTTACCCTGTAATGCATTTTCACCTTTGATACATCTCACCTCTCCACAATTGTAACCTGAAAAATTCAATGGTTACATTTATACAATATTTGTGAGAAGCATATTCCACGGTACAATGCTAGATTGTAAATAATACTGAGGTTTTATTCCGAGAATGGTCTATTCTTCTCCGTATAATTTGTAAAGAATAATCTTTCATGCCACAAGTTTTATGGTCAGACA